TTAGCTAAGGATGGCAGACCGATTAGTGTGTCCATAAACCTTTCATCACTCTCTAATTCAACATATAATGTTTACTAGTGTAGACGTACAAAAGAAAGTGAGGGCGGCCAAGCCAAAAGGCGACATCAGTTTCTGAATTCAAAACTGCTGAAATGACCTATGTCAATGAGTCAAAAGGGCCTAGTTAGTATCAGGGTTATTAAGGTAGCGAATGGCTCTAGACGTTCACGGATACTGCTCAGAATCGACTTCAGTGGTTCAAGTCCATTCACTTCTTGTCTCCCTTCAATTTTTAGCTTTGATTTGTCTACATCATTATCAGAGTATCGGATTTTGTGTGAAACTAACTGAGCAGTCTAAACAAATCAGTTTGACCTCCCAAGAAAGAAATTATTCATTCAGGATAATCTGGGAAGCATAAATTTCTTATTTTTAAATTCATAATAAGATTTTTTTGATAGAAAGAATCCTTCAGGGGATATTTTTACCAACTTACTTTTCTTATGTTTAAACTATTTCTAAGCATCATTTAACTTGAATACAGCACAACTGAAACTGTAAACTCACCTTCTCCAGTACTTTCCATTCGACTTGCCGTGTTGACTGTATCACCAAAAAGACAATATCTTGGCATTTTTAAACCAACGACACCAGCACATACTGGACCTAGAATCAATCAACAAACTATTATAGTAGTCTATGATCCAGCAGAGTTAGAAATCAAACAAAGCGTGATTTGATTGTCAAGAATACTAACATTGGAAGGTTATATACAACGAAGGTACTGTAGGGCTCGTCACTAGATACGCTTGAAGCTATTACGAGTTCACCTTAGTCGATAAACGCGAACGAGACAATTACCAGCGTTCAGATAGGCTACCTTGAATCCCAAGCTGAAGATAGAAGGCTTTGTAAGAGTAGAAAGCATATTCTACAAACACCCAGCAATCACACAATACAATCAAGCATACAACTCTCGTTTATTTATACATCATAGAAACATCCTTGGGACAGTTACGAAAATAGCACACTAAAATACACAGCAGCCAATCACAGCCATGGATTTTCCTGGTGGGAAATGAAATCTCAAGGTCAACTGATCAACCCATGCTGGCAAACGTGAAATCCAAAATAAGGCATTTATCAAGCGAGTTTTGGGGATCTAACATCCCCAACAGGTATCAGCCCTATTGAACGTTCAAATAAAGTTATTAATGAAAAAAATAGGATTTTTAACTAAACAGTTGATCCATTGATGGCTTCTCATGGAACTCAGTTAACTACATCCATAGCTGTTAATATTTACCCAGTTAGTAGCCAACTCAATGGTACGATTTCTGTATTGCTGACCTAATTTTATAATGTTCAGGCGATATAATTTATAGTTTATATCCAAGCAGGACATATCTATCTCTTCAAGAACACACAAGCCACATCTCATTCATCGATACCTACTACCGTTTTTTTCGAAAAGTATTTTATTTGGAATGTTTTAGTTCAAAGGTGTATTTATAACCTTTCAACAAAATCAACTTATATGCCTGTAATGCTTGGGTATAAACTTGCGTAAAATAAGCGAATTATTCAAGGGACAGCCTTTTCCTAGTTATAGTATGAATTTCCTTAATCTAAGAATCAGATCTCGAAAATATCTACTGCCAGATATGCAATATTAGTCAACTACTATGTCGTCAACTGTCCATCAGTTTAAGTATGATTAGTTAAGTATCTGCGCGAAATGGTTTAATGAATAAAATTGACTTGAAAACGTTGTCTCTATCCATTTAGCGATTCATTAGCTGCTAATTTTCCAGACAACAGATCTAATGTTTAAAATTAAAACAAATGAGAGTAGTTTACAATCCGAATGTGATCTAGTTTTGTCAGAAAATTAGTTTCCACTCTTTATTCCTGTATTTGAATTACGATCCTCTTGTTTAGCCCTTAAACACCTATGTTACAAAGCTAACCTAAACTGAATGTAGTAGTTTAATTCAAAAGTTGGAAGGCTATCCAGATAGTGTGAAATCATTTTAAGGGAACATGTTGTTTACATGATAAAACTTATTAACAAGGCTTCAGCTTAAGGAAACTTAACTAAGCTAATTTCCTAACATTAAAAACATTCAATGTCTCTCCAGAGTTCACATGATTATAGATTAGATCATCGTTCAGCCAAATGACTGTTCTGTGTTCTTGTGAGATTTAATTAGCTAGCTAAATAACCAAAAATCATAGACCAAGTCGGCTGACAACAGCCTATATCAACATCTAAATTGTAGAACATTGAATTTGCTTGGACAAGTATTACAATCTAAAATATGTTTTGATCACCTTACATAAATGATATACGAACTTTACCAAGTTTAAATTTCAATCTCAACTAACAGATATACATCTAGACTTACTTACTTACTTACCCCTGTTACCCCCAATCGAGCATAAGCCGCCGACCAGTTTTCTCCAACCAACTCTGACACGGGCTTCCCTTTCCAGTTCTGTCCAATGTTTGTTCATTCTTCTCATATCTTTCTCTATTTCTCTTCGTAATGTGTTCCTTGGCCTTCCTCTTTTCCTTTGACCTTGAGAGTAGTCCCATGTGAGAGCTTGTCTCGTAATGCAGTTCGGTGCTTTTCGTAGTGTGTGTCCTATCCACTTCCACCGCTTCTTCCTCATTTCCTCCTCCAACGGAATCTGGTTTGTTCTTTCCCACAGTTCGTTGTTGCTGATGGTGTCTGGCCAACGAATACGAAGTATTTTGCATAGACTACTGTTAATAAACACTTGTATATTATGGATGATGCCTTTCGTAGTTCTCCAAGTTTCCGTTCCATACAGAAGAGCTGTCTTGACATTTGTATTGAAAATCCTGATTTTGGTATGGTTGAAAGTTGTTTGGAGTTCCAGATATTTTTCAGTTGTAGAAATGCAGCCCTTGCTTTGCCAATCCGCGCCCTCACATCTGCATCGAATCCACCTTTCTCGTCGATGATGCTGCCCAGATATGTAAAGGTGTTAACGTCCTCCAAGGCATCTCCATCAAGAGTGATTTGGTTGGTGCATGTTGTGTTGCATCGGAGAATTTCGCTTTTTACTTTATGTATGTTGGAGACCTACTGCTCCTACACTGGTCGTCTTCTCTTGCATTTGTTGTTGCGTGTGCGATAGAAGAGCCAGGTCATCTGCGAAGTCCAGATCGTCCAGCTGCGTCCTAACTGTCCAGTTGATACCGTGCTTCCCTCCAGATGTTGACGTTTTCATAATCCAGTCGATGACCAGGAGAAAGAGAAAGGGTGAGAGTGAGCAACCTTGCCTGACACCGGTCTTCACCTCGAAAGAGTCTGTTAGCTGTCCTCCGTGCACGATTTTGCAGTTTAATCCATCATAAGAATTCCGTATGATGTTGACTCTCTTCTCAGGCACACTGTAGTGTCGAACAAGCCTCCATAGTGTTTTCCTGTTCACGCTATCGAATGCTTTCTCGTAGTCGATGAAGTTGATGTAGAGTGGTGAGTTCCATTCAATAGATTGTTCCTCAATGATCCGTAATGTGGCAATTTGGTCAGTACACGATCGATCCGGCCTGTTGATCTCGAAGTTGGACGTCTACGAAGTCCTTCATTCTGTTTAACAATATCCTGTTGAAGACTTTGCCTGGTATTGAAAGCAGAGTGATGCCTCTGTAGTTCTCATACTTGCTGAGATCGCCTTTCTTTGGTATTTTGATCAGGTATCCTTCTTTCCAATCTGATGGTACTTGTTCCTCATCCCAAATCTTCTTTAAGAGGATGTAAAATATTTTTGCAGTTGCTTCTACATCTGCTTTCATTGCCTCTGCTGGAATGTTGTCTGGTCCTGCTGCTTTGCCGCTCTTGATTTGTCTGATGGCCATACTGATCTCCTCAATTGTAGGTGCGCCAATATTAATTGGGAGGTCCGTGGATACTGCTTCGATGTTGGGTGTGTTCAGTGGAGCTGGTCGATTCAGGAGTTCTTGAAACTGCTCTATCCACCTATGTCGCTGTTCTTCAGTGTTGCTGATTACTTTGCCTTGCTTGCTTTTCGCTGGTCGTTCTGGTTTGTGTTAGTTTCCGGCGAGCTTCTTTGTTGTATCGTACAATTGTCTCAAGTTTCCTTTTCTTGAAGCCTTTTCCGCGGTCATTGCTAGGTTTTCCACATATTTTCGTTTGTCAGCTCTGATGCTCTTCTTCACTTCCCTGTTTGCTTCTGTGTATGCAGCTTGTGCCTTAACTTTATCTGCACTTGTTCGGCTGACATTGATTGCTGCCTTCTTGTTCCTCCTTTCAATTTTTGCAACAGTATGAACAGAGATCCATTCCTTGTGATGGTGCTTCTTGCGACCAAGGACCTCTTGACATGTTGAAGTGATTGACTTCTTAATCCCTTTCTAATTGTTCTCCAATGTTGCGTCCTCTCCATTGAGTAGATCCTGAAAGGCCTGGAACCTATTAGTGAGGGTTATCTTGAATTCGTTGAGTTTTAAGGTATCCCGAAGAAAGGCTGTGTTAAACTTCTGTGTTGTCTGCCCCGTTGTCCAGTGCTTCTTTAGTTTCAGTTTCATTTTGGCGACCAGCAAATGGTGATACATCTAGACTTAGGTTTACTTTATTTCAACTAGTGAAATGATTTCTGACAAGTGGAAACTGTATACAGTTCTATTAATACGGTTAATAAAATAAACTTTATCGTTTTCTTTAATTAATGAAGAATTTCACTATCTTCAGTAAAAGTATTTGAACATTTAGTAAGGGTGCCCTACTTGTCATAGTATTCAATGTTCCAATAGAGTTATAACAAATCTAGTTACATTCATGAATGAACGTATTCACCGGACAAACCAATAACAATCAGACTAACCTGTATATAAATAAATCATTTTGATCGATAATAAGATGAGGAGATTAGACGATAAAATTTGTTCAGTTTGATTACATTTCATTTTAACAAAAATAAGGTTTGAACATGTGACATTAACTCACCGGAATGTAAACCTACACGAATTTTTAACGGTTCTTCAGGTTTATGCGGAATAACAAAACTATGTGAAACATTGACTAAATCCAATGACATATCAGCTATGGCGATGGCATGACGTTCACCATTTCTTCTTGGAACACCTGACGCAACCATATCTAAAATAATAATAACAAAAACAGAAACCGTACAAGTTCTTTGAACTATGATAAAAAATAATGACATTCAGACAGTTAGTTGACTGTTAAATAAAGTTACTTTGAAGATTTGTAAATCAGCTGTTGATGAACGTTTAAGCTATACTAATGGTCTAATCTTCCAAATAAGAATCTCATGATTTGTAAGTCAGTCAGTCAGATGCAACGTAGAACTTCGTACGTACGTACATCAGTTCAGGCTGCCATACCACATTAGAACAGAGACACAATTGTCAGTTCAAATCCAATTGTGGTAGAGATAGTAGAAGTATTAGAAGTAATGAGGAAGATTAGGGAGTGAAGATTTGATTCGAGAAGTGTTATTCAGAGAGATATATTAAGAAATAGAAAGCTAGAAATGATGAGGAATTCAGAAGGTTGGAATTTGAGAGGACAAAACGAGTGGATACATCTGCGCCACTGCAAACGATTTTGAGCCGTGTCGTTCAAAGTCTGTAACCACTGGTGACTTTCGCCTCGCGGACTCTATCCAGGTAGCCTAAATCTACCAACATGACTCAGTCCACATGTTAGTGACTTCATGGATTTGTGCCATGTATTGGCTTGGTCACCGCTAGATTTCTTCCAACCTACTCCTTTACCACAATACATAGCTCGTCGAATCAGTTGGTCGTTTCGGCATACGTAACACATGTCGACCTTTTCTAACCCTTCCTTTCTTGTGAGAGGGCAGCATCGCTGCAGATGCTGTTTGTCCGAGGGAAACAAATACTGCTATCTCACCCCTCTAAAGTCAGCAGTACGACTTCACCCTCGGACCTTGACTAGCTCCCTTATTCTCATTGTTCTCCAATCGACCTGTGTGGCATGGTAGTACCTACAAGGACATATGTTCCAGCCAATATAGTTCGGTTGGGTCATGATTTGTAAAGGTATTAATTAGGTGTCAGTATAATAACTCATCATCACCATGCGTTACAGAACAATAAAGAGAAATTTTCGGGCAGAGTTTTGGAGGTTTTGTGTTTTTACACATTTGAAATCATCGATCAAGCATTGTTAGACCACCATTAGAAGCCTGGAAGCACTGGACAGCCCTTTCGTCCTGGTATGGGATTAATCAGCAGTGCGCATCCACGACTCCTGCTCCTCGCAGGATTCAAACCCGGAACCTTCGGTATTGTGCCGTCCAGTGCTCTTTGGGTTTCTAATGGTGTGGTCTAACAATGATTGATTGATGATTTCAAATATGTAAAATAAAGAGAAAAGAATAATCTGGAACTTTATGAATTTAATTCGACGCACCCTTTTTCTGCTACTTACTTTCACTGATGAAATGATTTACATCGTATAGATAAAATAAACTATGCTTAGTCTGATATCTGTTTAAATACACTCTATTCAGCTAACAAGTGCATATTCAAGTAACGAGAGATTCAATTAGGTAAACATAAACACTCAAATGTCAACCGTCGTAATCATACTGATGAAGATCTTTAACTTTGATCAAGCATATTTACCACAGTAACACTGAAACTAAATATTCGAAGGCAACATATTACGAATTCTATGTGGGCTCAGATAAATACGATAGAGTTTTATCTGCTTTTAGATTCTGATAACCTCGTCAATAGATATGCTTGAAACGATTATTAGTTCACCTTACTCGGTAAACGAGAGCGAAGACAACTGATGCAGTAGCACAATATGCTATACTAATCCATTTGCCCCCGACCCGGCTAACTATTTAAGAAATCTTGATAAGCACCCAGAAAATAAGAGGTTGGACTAGCACATAAATCGAGTATATTTATGCATGATAGAAACGTCCTTGGAAGAGTCACAAAAATAGCATACTAAAATAATCCATCAACTAATGACAGTAAAGGATTTTCCGAGTGGGAAATGTAAGCTGAAGGTCAACTAAGTAACTTATGCGCGAAAACATAAAAATCCAAAATTATGCCCTTTTCCAAGTGATCTCAGGGGATCTACCGTCCCCAACAGATTCCTAACAGTTATATAACTGAGAAGTCATACATTTTACGTAAATCAACAATAAAATTTTAAAAATTTCATAGCTCACATGCATCACCGATTGTTTCCACTTTGTAAACGTCGTACCGATCAATAATATCGTCGAATTGAGTATAGAGTTTGTTCAGAAATTCTACAACCTGAAACAAGATATATTTATAGATATATACTTAAGTAGATAAATTGGTTTAACTTTCCTGATTTTATTCTTAATCAATGTTTACTGTATTGATTGGAAATAAATAACTTTAATTGTTTCAGTGCTCAAAACAAAATTAAGGGAACGTTAGCATCTTGAACTCTATACATTAAAAAATGTTACATTTTCTAGTGAGTCTATTGTTTGGTTAACTATAATTGTCGATATCATCTTTTTATCTAAACAGAGATATTTAAGTTTGTGAATAGTACGACTAAATATTACCCGTTATGAGACATAAATCACAGGTCAAACAGAAAAAAATCAAAGTGCATATCGCTTGCAACTATTAAGTACTTACAACCTGTAACTCAGATGTAAGTGACGAGGAACTAATGCGTTATGACAGTTCGATCAAACAATCTTGAGGTTAGTTCAATCATTAACTGATTGTGATTAGTCGACTAGATGCTTCAATTTTATGTCTCATACTGATTAGCATGTAGTGGAACGCTTCTACGAAGAAAATACGATTTGTGAAAAATAAACATTATTGTACTCGTTTTGTTTGACTGAACCAAAAACACTTCTTCTACTTCTTGCGCGCAACGCTCTCTTCGCGTTGCTGCCATTTTTCCAAATGCCCTGCTCCCCATGTAATGCCAACGTTCTCCTTCAAAAAAATACTCGACCATGGATTTATTTTGATTTCAATGATGGCGGGATATTATGGAACATTTAGTGGTGAGCATAGTCAATCTGGTATCTTGACTCGCTCACTACAAGCACTTTTCAGTTATGTCTTTTCCTCAATTCTAGTCAGTTATCTATCAGCATTCTTTCTGCAGAGAAAGGCACTTTCTAAGTGATCGATTATAGAAACCAAGACGTATATAATTTATCATAACTAACTGATAGATGATAATTCTTACCCTACCAGTGATTTTCCTAAAGCAAACTGATTAATTTTATGTCATCTGTTTTCTATAAGGCCTATTACATTACTATGATTGCTTTGCAGATAATATGACAACTTAGAGTTTATTGAAAGTCAATGAAACTTGTGCATGCTGAATGGATAATTTAAGTAGTTATTACTAGTAATAATCAATAAATACTTACTTCAAATGGTGTAGAACTTGATGAGATTGTTGTAAAACCAACAATATCACTAAAATATATTGTACATTGTTCAAATGCTTCAGGTGGTACATTTTCACCATGTCTAAGCATTTCTACAACTTGTTTTGGTAACATACCTAAAATTAAAATAATCAAAATGCAAGATTTGAATAGCATGAAAAAAAAAAATTGTACATTTTTAAAAAATTTTCATGTCTATCTCACTGAATAAACGATTGTACAAAATAAACTCATTCGAAAAATTGATGTATCTGGCTTTTTAATACCGTCATGGCACACTAACGGGATTTGCCTAAGTATTATGATTTACGAAAATGGAAAGGAAGATTTATATTTCATCGCATACTCAAACATTCGTATAAACTGGAATCAGATCCTGGGTCACTTAAGTGGTGAGCCGTATCTCGAATTCAACACGGCCACTAAAAATGCTTATTAGAATATTGGGTAGATTTACTATGAATGCAATATACTCACAGACAGATAGGTAGGGTTCAAATGCCTCGTATGATTAAGGTTTCAAAAAATATTAGTGGGCTTTTTGCTATTATAAAAAAATGTTGTTCATAGATTGACTGGATTATGAAGCCGTCAGCATCTAGAGGGAAGCACTGTATCCAATGGACAGCTAGGATGCAGCTGGACGATCTGGACTTCGCAGATGACATGGCTCTTTTATCGCACACGCGACAACAAATGGAAGATAAGATGACCACCGGGCAGTATCATCGGCATTTCTAAAACTGAAAAATATCTGGAACTCCAAACAACTTTCAACCAAAATCAAAATCAGGATTTTCAATTCAAATGTCAAGACAGTTCTATTGTATGGAGCGGAAACTTGGAGAACTACCAAAGCCATCATCCAGAAGATTCAAGTATTTATGAACAGTTGTCCTCGCAAAATACTTCGGATTCATTGGTCAGACACCATCAGCAAGAACATACTGTGAGAGGGAACAAACCAGATTGCAGTGGAGGAGGAAATCAGGAATGAGCAGTAGAATTGGATAGGACAGATATCGAAAAGCACCGAACTGCGTCACAAGACAAGCCCTCACATGGAACCCTCAAGGTGAAAGGAAAAGAGGAAGGCCAAACAACACATTACGCTAAGAAATGGAGACAGGCATGAGAAGAATTAATAAACTTTGGAAAGAACTAGAAAGGGAAGCTGAGGACAGAGTTGGTTGGAGAAAACTGGTGGGCGGCCTATGCTCCATTAGGGGTAACAGGCAGAAGTAAGTAATTGTTCATAGATCATTCCAATCTTCTCAGGTAACTTCTTGTTACGCTTTAAATCCATCAGTAAAATTAACTGTTCAGAATGCATACACGTGTTTTAATTAATTCGGAATACCAAATATTTTGCTCAAGTTTAGCATATTCTGTAATATTTTGTACCAACATCCATATCGTTCTTTCGTTATCGTATTTAATTTAACTGAATCCCCTACTTAGATTTATTCACGAAAGAATTCATTATCCAAAACTTTGGAAGCTGTTTGACCATAGGGAACCTTAGGTATATTCAATAAAAGTGACTATAGGGTTATGTCAGTATTTTGCATCAACAGAAATAAATTGTAACATTGAGAAAGTATAATATATGATGTGACTAGTAGAGCGAAACCCTGTCGGGTGTAGGAGGTGAATACCAAAGACAATAAGTGAGGTTGGG